TCAACCTACCAAAACTGATAATTTCGACCAGCAAAATTCCAGCTGCATATTGGTATATTAAAAGGTATATTTAAAGGACAATTATGGTACAAACAAAAATGCCATTCGGCAACCATAGTCAGCAAACAATAAAGTAAACAAACTGGAGATTAATAGTAAATTAACTACAATATAACCAGTAAACAACATTCGGTGAATTTGGCGGCTGCCTTCCTCGGGGATGAATATGCTAGGGATGAAATTATTGGTACACACGCCTTCCAAGCACGCAGGGTTGCTTTTAACAAACAAAAAATAATTACCTTCAAATAGTTTCAAAAAGTATATTGTAAAACGAAATTTATTGAATAATTCCACATAAAATGGTATACATCATGGAACTTTTCTACTAATTGACATCAAATTACTATCTCAACGCTCGGAGCGCTGCCACTGATAAAAAAGAGAAAATTTGGAAATACCAAACAAAAATTTTGAGATTTCTCCTTGTGAATTAGAATGCCATAGTTTTTACCTAGCTCCTGTGACTACGCAAAATTTTGACAGCTTGTAAATATGCATACACATAAAGTTGTTGGCGGTAATAGAGTCAAAATCAAAATGGAGAAAAGAACAAAAAGCGTACGTTAGTTGTCAGTTATAAAATAAATCCAATTTATTTGCGAATATTTGTTTATTCTATTTATTGAAAGGCAACTACGCGAAAAAGCTTGTGTTAATTATATTGATAACAGAACCTGGCAGCTCGCACGTTGTCTAAATTCTCAAGTAACATAAAATCCACAAAAGAATACATTGCTTGTATTACCATCAATACGCCATGTATAAATTTTAACAAGACACAAAAATAGAGCTTTTGCACGAGCGTTTGTTTGGTTTTTCAACACCATTTATAATTTTCTTTTAATAAAATCACGATTTGTCAAATGCTTAAATTTATTTATCTAATAATAATGCAGCACACAACCCTGATATCTAAGAAAAAGTTTGAGGAAGGCCATTAAATAGCAGCACACAACCCCGTGCCTTCCTCAGGAGTGACCCTGCAAAAATCGCGACTACTCCATGCATGCGTGTAAAGAGTACTCCCTAAGGACCAAAGAGTACTCCAAAATTAACCACAATTCATATAAAAAATATGGTTCAATTAACATTGCGATGTCCTAGGTCAGGACCATATACTCCATCCCTGCATTACATCAGAGTAGCACAAAACTACTCCAACATATTAACAATGGGCATTGTTGTTATATTTTTTCGTTTGTACACGCTTTTGTTCTTCACTTCTCAAATGCTCAATGAGTATATGCATTACTTAATTGATGCTTGATACCATTCTCTTTACAGTATTTGTCGAATTCAGTTGAACAATATTCACCACCATTGTCCGTCCGTATTGTTTTGATTTTAGATCCAGTTTGGCGTTCAATGTATGTTTTGAAATTTTTAAAGTTATTGAAAACTTCTGATTTTGACTTGAGAAAGTAAACGAATAATTTTCGGGAGAAATCATCTATGAATGTTAATACATATTTGGCGTGTCCTATAGATTGCGTTTCCATAGGTCCACATAGATCAGAATGTATTAGTTCGAGTAGCTTTGTTGTTTTTGAGTTACTTTGTTTAAACGGAATTCTTGTTTGTTTGCCTTTGGGACATATCTGACAATTTTTTATTTCATGATCGTCGTCATTGAAATCAATACCAGAAACAGCGCCGTCACGCATTTTCTTTAAACTTTGAAAATTTATGTGTCCAAGTCGCCTGTGCCATAGCATTGCGTTGTTATTTGTTTGTTTTGATAACAAGCATTTTGCTTGGATTCCCTTCAGTTTGTAAACACCATTTTCCGCTTTGCACTGTACAATTACTTCTTTGTTTTTGTTAAGTATTGTACAGCCTGTTGCATCGAATTTTATTACATTCCCCTGACTCACTATTTTTGCAGCTGACAGAAGGTTTACTGATAAATCGGGCACGTGTAGAATTTCGTTAACTACAATTTCTTGCCCGTTGATATTCAGTGATGTTTTGCCAACGCAACTTACTGTCATAGCTGTTCCATTTGCTGACATTATTTTGTCAACGAGT